AGAAGAGAAGAGAAGAGAAGAGCAGAGAAGAGAAAAGAAGAGAAGAGAATAGAAAAGAAAAGGAAGCAAAGAAAAGGAAAAGGAAACGAAAGACAGAACAGAACAGAAGACAAATAAAAACAAGACAACACGACACGACACGACACGCCACGAGAAAAGTCATAATGCAAAGAAATGCAAGAGAATGAATTGAAGTAAAATAAAATAAAAAAAGGAATACAAGAGAAGAAAAAAGAAGAAAAAGCAAGAAAAAATGAGAATGAAAGCCTGATAAAATCTTAGAGAAAAAAGGAAGCTTTGAAATTACTACACCATGGTTTTAAGAGTACCCTTTCTCAAGTTTAACAGACATAGCCATATAATTAATAGAAGTTTTGTATTAATGACGTTTACTAGCCGCTGATTGGTTGAACTCTTATCTCCTATGCTTCAACATGACGTTTAGCACGACGTTTGTCGATTAGCGTTTCCTAGGACCTTAGCGTGAACCATGGATTTATATCTTGCGAGATAAAGTTAATTGTTGTATTAGAAGTCACTCCTGTAAGCTCTAAGCCTCGTCATCTTACGCCATCTTGCCGATGGTCACAACGCCCGGCTGCCGAAATCAAACCTCGAGATGTCACTTGTGAACATCACATCAGCTCGTTTAATGAAACAACCCTCGACCATTCGACCTCCCTCGAAACTTCATTCACGATCTATAATTATACTGATTTATTTTTCAAAAGAAAGTTCTGGGCTAATAAATTGTTTTTCGTGCTATATTGTCTCCAGCCTTAGCAGGTGATTTTAGTATAATCAATTCAATTTATTTCAAGTCATCAGTCCGGATGTGATGTCACTTGTCCATGATGTAATGTATAGTTGATTGCTATTTCAACAAATATCGCACAAGATCTAAAGCATTAGTCAAATCTTCTCGTCCAACGAGCGCATTGGAAGTGAAAAACAGACGCTTATTTCAAAGATTTCGTTTACTACTCCAAATTGTTCTTCTCCCTTAACTGCTTTACATCGACGCACTTCGATCAAACTAAGATGACTGACAACAACGACGTCCAAACTCGCTCAATCGTCCGAAACGTTTGGATGTCTTTAGCGATATTTCTGAGTATTTTTGGCAACCTTCTTCTGATCATGGTCATTTCTCGTCGACAAAGGTTCCACAATGTTACCAACGTGTACAATTTGAATTTGTCCTTCAGTGACTTGTTGAAGGTTATTTTCTACATCCCGGTATATCTAATTGTGGCGGAAAGGAGAAGCTGGCCCTATGGACTTGGTGGGTGTCAGGCGCTCAATGTGATTTTATATACCTCGTTTGGGGTTACTGTGTTGACACTTATGAGTTTGAGTTTCGAGAGATATCATCTTATCTTACATCCTACGAAAAAACAGGTATGGGTAGAATAATTGGTTTGAGTCGATGTACAGTATACTTCATTCTTTCTTCCATCCATCTATTTTCATCAAATCCTCCATTAATTTCTTCAGTTTTTTCTATTCATTCACAATTATCATCCATCCATCCATCCATCCATCCATCCATCCATCCATCCATCCAT